GAGGCACGGCGCACCTTGAGGCAGGGCGCACCTTGAGGCATGCCATCTGCGATACACACGACACGACCCACCTTGAGGCAGGGCGCGCCATCGGGCATGCGGAAGTTGGAGGCGATGAAGCCGAAGGTGGACTCGCAGATGTCCAGAAGAGAGTCCAGCAGCGCGCCGCAGCTCTCACTCGCATTCTCCGTCTGCAGTGGCATGAGAGGAGCGGGGCAGCAGGGAAAGAGGGGCAGCAGGGAACGAGGGCAGCAGGGAAAGAGGGGCAGCAGGGAAAGAGGGGCAGCAGGGAAAGAGGGGCAGCAGGGAACGAGGGCAGCAGGGAAAGAGGGGCAGCAGGGAACGAGGGCAGCAGGGAAAGAGGGGCAGCAACAGCGTCAAACGAGCCGGGACGAGCGGATTGAATGATCGGACACTCGGCACGAACGGATTGAATGATCAGGCATTCAGCACGAACGGATTGAATGATCAGACATTCAGCACGAACGGATTGAATGATCAGACATTCAGCACGAACGGATTGAATGATCAGACATTCAGCACGAACGGATTGAATGATCAGACATTCAGCACGAACGGATTGAATGATCAGACATTCAGCACGAACGGATTGAATTATCAGAAATTCAGCACGAACGGATTGAATGATCAGACATTCAGCACGAACGGATTGAATGATCGGACATTCAGCACGAACGGATTGAATGATCAGACATTCAGCACGAACGGATTGAATGATCAGACATTCAGCACGAACGGATTGAATGATCAGACATTCAGCACGAACGGATTGAATGATCAGGCATTCAGCACGAACGGATTGAATGATCAGGCATTCAGCACGAACGGATTGAATGATCAGGCATTCAGCACGAACGGATTGAATGATCGGACATTCAGCACGAACGGATTGAATGATCAGACATTCAGCACGAACGGATTGAATGATCAGACATTCAGCACGAACGGATTGAATGATCAGACATTCAGCACGAACGGATTGAATGATCGGACACTCAGCACGAACGGATTGAATGATCGGACATTCAGCATGAACGGATTGAATGATCAGACATTCAGCAGCCCACTGCCGATGTTTCTGCAACAACACGAAATCTTGACCTCCCTTCGACCGAACGATCAAGCGTCACCTTGTCCTGTCTGAACGCCATGAGCCCATCCTCAATAGCTTCCACCAGCGCCTCGTTGTCAATCTCGTCCTCCGCATACACGTCATCATCGTCATCCTCCTCCTCCTCATCTTCCTCCCACCCTCCATCCGATCCTCCGTCCTCCCCTTCCTCCTCCCCTCCCTTCCTCCCCTCCCTCCCTTTTCTCCCCCCTCCTCCCCCCTTCTCCCCCCGATTCGCCACCTGAAACACAACCACCTCCCCAAGCTGCCGCCCAGGACAAATCCCCAGCCTGGATGGGCGGATCGGCGGAAACATGGCAGGTAAGGTGCCACACGCAAGAGGCTCGGCACGGCCGTACCTGTGCCCTAAACCTAACCCTAATCCCTCTGACCCTGCTGCAGCGGCAAATCCTACTTCTGAACCTGGCTTTAACTTAGTCTCTGCAAGAGGCTCGGCAGCTAGTAGCAGGCTGGATCTAGGCTTGGAGCCCAAGCCCCATGCCGAACCTAAGCCTGCCTTTGCCCTAATCATAGCCCTGAACCCTGCCACTCTCTCTCCGTCTATTTCTGACTCAGTGCCCTCATCCTGTGACTCATCGTCCCTGTCATCACCAACAGAATCCACGTCAGCATCTCCCTCGTCCCTATCCTCCTCCCCCCCACCTCCGTCCAGGTACCCATACGTGCCCGTTTCCGAGCCTCCAGGCCCGGCAGCGTCCCAAGAAGGCAGAGCAGGTTCGGCAAGAGCAGTGCTAGGTGCAGCTGGTGGGCCAGTAGTGGAAGCGGGTACAGTGCCAGGCCCAGGCTGCAACGCCTGTAGCAGGCTGGGTTGTAGCAAACTCGGTTGTAGCAGGCTTGGTTGTAGCAAACTTGGTTGTAGCAGACTCGGTTGTAGCAGGCTTGGCTGCAGCTGATTCGGCTGGAGTGAACTGGGATGTAGCAGGCTGGGTTGTAGCATCCCTGGTGGCTGCTGCAGCAGGGCGGCCATGAGCTCACCGGGTCCCAGCCTCAGCAGACTGCCGCCACCCTCACTCCCTTGCCCTGCCCCCCTCGCTGCCGCGCCTAACCCCCCTGCTGCCACAGGCCCAGCAGCAAACCCCCCACGAGGCGCCGACCCCTGGGGGCTACTGGCAGCGTCGGAGAGCGCCCCTGAGAAGTTCCCAGACAGGTTGCCAGAACGGGTGCCTGACAGGGTGGAGAGCGCATGGGGCGACGGGGGGGGGAGGCTGTACCCTGCACCGCCACCGCCACCGCCAGCAGCAGCATAGCCAAATCCGCCCCCCGGAGCAGCCGCAGCAAAGCCATATATCAACCCGCCTCCCCCGCCGCCGCCCTGCCAGCTGTCGATGCTGCTGTCGGATGGCGTCGGGCGGTGGTGGTAACCGCCGTAACCCGGCCCGCCGGGATCGCTGAGCGTGCCGCTGTAGCTGCCACCGAAGGCAGGGCCGGGGGCAGAGGCGGAGGGGGGGAAGCCCACATACGACGAGGCAGACACCCCACTGAAGGTTCGCTGACCCGAAAGCGAGCTCCCTCCTCCTCCTGCCCCTTCCGCTGCGCCTGCTGCGGCTGCTGCTCCTCCTACGCCGCCCCCGCCGCCCCTGCCGTCTCCTGATAGGCCAGGAGCTCTGCCCGGTGTGCCAGGGAGGGACCCTGCAGCTTGGGCGTGGGTCTGTTTGGACGGGGACGGCGTGGAAACGGGGCTGCCAGCCACCGGTTTCACTTCAAACCGCCACAGAACCTTATCCGTCACTTTCGTCTCGCCCCTTCCCCCTCCCCCTCCCCCGCCCCCTCCCCTCCCTCCGCCTCGTCCCCCTGCATGTTGCTGCGCCGCTCCCCTCCCTCCTCCCCCGCTTCTGCTGCTGGGCATGCCCCCGCTGGCGGAGCGCTGGTGCGCGCCCGTCTGTGAACCCGCGTGCTTGCGCTGCAGCGCGCGCGCCTGTCTCTGCTGCAGGCGCTGCTCCTTCTGCGCCGCGCGCAGCTCCTTCTGCGACACCAGCTGCTGCTGCTTCCGCTGCCGCTGCTGATGCTTCTGCGCGTGACTCAAAGGCTGGCTGCCACTATCGCGTGCGCTTGTATCAGAGCGCGGACCTCCGTCCCCTTCTCTCTGCAATCCTACAGCGGAACCCAACCCGCCAATCACGCGTTCCGCCAACCCTCCGCTGCCGCTTCCCTTTCTTCCCCCAACTACCCCAGCAGCTGCGCTTCTCGGGCTCCGCCCTTCTTCCGCCGATCCTCCGCTTCTTGGTCTTCCCGCTCCCCCCAAATTGCCACTGTACCCCCCTTCCGCTTCGCGCGCCGAAGCTCCCGGAGCGGCGCTCTCCCCCCTGTTTTCCGCCACGGCGGAAGAAACTGCTGCGCTGGAGCTTTCCGCTCCGCCAGAAGCCGCGCGGCGAACTCCGCCTCCTCCTCCCCCTACTCCGCCTTTTCCGCTTCCCCCACCACTAGCCGCAACGGCAGCCAATGGCGTTCCGCCTCTCCCGGCGCGTTTCTCGGAGCTCGCGGATCGCGGTACCATCACGGCATCAGAACTATGCCGCGGATTTTCCGCGGCCCTCGATACACGCACATTGTCGTCCAATCGCAGCTCGTCGCTGTTCCCCGCGCTCACGCTACGGCTTCGGGATCGACTCCCCCATTTCCGGTGTCCCGCCCTCCCCTCGGTCGCTTTCTGATCCGCCGCCGCCTCCGCCGCCGCCCCCGCCGCCGCCGCCGCTGCACTGCCTGTTGTACCGCTAGTAGGTATCCCGCTGTTCGATTCTCCGCTTATTGGAACGCTGCCGCTTGGAACCCCGCTGCTTCCGCCGGCCGGCTGCTTCGCGTTGCTCTCGCGCTTATCGCCTGCGCCATCATTGCTCTTGTCGTTTCTTCCGCCCTTCCGCCACTCCGCGCTGCCTCGCCGGCGCCCGGCGCTGGCGCCGCTTTTAGATGACGCGAGTCTGCCGAGTAATCGCGGCGCAGAAGCGGCGTTTTGGCGATCCGTAGAATGCTGCGGACCCATCACCTCTCAAGATGGGGTAATGATAATAATATTTAAAAAAAAGGCTGTGACGCGATCCTTGGAGCTGCAAGGGGTCTATCTTATTGCCGCGTGAGCCGCAAACGCGGCTGTGAGAGCAGCTCTGATCCAACCGACGCGCGGGACATAGCTGAAGTCGAGCGGGAACAATGGTCTCAGGCTGCTGCTGGTCGCTTTGACGGAGTCTCAACTCAAAATGACGATGGCAATCCCGGGAGGCAGACTTTGGGCTGCCGGGTAAAAAAGTGGTCAAAACTGGATACGATGCGGTACGGTACGGTATGCTCATGTGTTCTCCTCTTGAGATTTTGTGAACCCTACAGTGTACAGTGATGCGGTGTACGCACGCATGCCCTCAACGGGAAACGGTCATTCGCATACCGATGCGCTGCTCATCTCGTTTTCCATTGGCCAGTCATTTCTGGCTTTGAATGTACAGGACTGTGACAAACCGAAACCCTCGACTGCGTGTGTGCTGTACTCGTGGGGGGGGGCATTTGACGTCTCGACCTTTTTGGTAACGCATAACATCGCACTCGACCTCTTTGGGACGTCCCAAAACGAATCAATGTTGCTCTCGGCTATGGCTCCCCTCCAATCCCCTCCAAACCTCTCCAATCCCTTCCAATCCCTTATAATCCCTCCCATTCCCTCCCATTCCCTACCACCTCGTCTGCCATTTGCTCTCCCTCCTTCCCCTCCTCGCCCCACTCCACCCGTCTCTCCTGACCGTCGACGCCAGCGCACGCGTCCAGCTCCTCACCATGCTTCGTGCTTGCTCGAGTCAACCCACCCCACCGTCCCACACAGCAACCCCGTGTGCGTGCGCTGAGCCAAACATGTGTTTTGCTCTCTCCTTTCTTGTAGTGAATCTAGTGCGCTGTGCGCTACTTGTTGCCTAGCTGCGTGCTTCGGTGTAGTATAACATCGGCTCTCCCGGTTCTTCGCTCTTCGGTGATCGGGTCGCGCGTCACATAAGTAATCCAAAGTCGTTTCGCATGGAGTGATTTCCAGCACTCCGCATCAACCCCTTAGGTACTAACTACCATCCATCTTTCCCACAGCGAGCGAGGGGACTCGACGCTTGTTTCGACTCAAAAGCTCTACCCACCTTTCTGGCAGCGTCTCTCCGCCGTCATCACCCCACCGTGCCAGATTTCCTCTTTGAGAATTCTCAAAAAACAGCAATCCTTCAGCTTTTCTGGCGCCTCAGAAACCGAATTCTCAAAAACCAACTCTCCGCCGCCATCACCGCACCGTGCCACATGGCGAGCATCGTCGTCATAACAACGCAGGACGACGCGGCGCACGCGTTTCCGGAGTCCGCCATCGACGACCGCCTCCTCATCCCGGGCCTCCCCAACGAGATCGCCATCCGCTGCCTCGCGCGCGTCCCCTACATGCGCCGCCTTCCCCTCGGGCTCGTCTGCAAATCATGGCGCGACGCGTTTCGCGGCGGGACGATCTACAACATCCGGCAGCGCGAGGGGATTCTAGAAGAGCTCCTGTGCGTCTCGTTCCTCGACAAGGCGCACGGGCGGCTCGTTCTTAAAATCCTCGACGAGGCTTCGCGGAAATGGGCGCCGCTTTCGTCGGAGTACCGGCATACCAAGTGCAAGGTGCGCAGCTTCCACTGCCGCGCGTTCCGCCACAAGGTGTTCGTGTTCACGCGCGACGAGTGGGCTTTAATTAAGAACAGCAACCTCGCCATGCTCGGCATCACGCGCGCGGGCGCCGGAGGGGGGAAGAGGAGGCTCGCGGAGGGGGAGTTGGGGGACGCGAGGGAGGTGAGGGAGAAGCAGTGGGTGCGGTAGGGGGACAAGGAGGAGGCGACGGGAGAGGGGGGGAAGTGGGAAGAGGAGAGGGGGAAAGGGGAAGGGGAGCTGACGGGGGGGAGAAAGGGGAGTTGCGGGTGCTGCTGCTGAAGCTGATCCTAGGGCGGGTGGGCGGGGGTTTGGTGGCAGGGGTGGAGGGTTTGAAGTGTCGAACGTGGTTACATGTTACGGGCGGTTTTACACGCTGGATCACAACTTCATACACGAGTATAACCTGGAGATGAAGCAGTGGGAGCGAGCCGTGCAGCTGCCCTCTCGCCACAGGTGGGCCGGAACCTTCCGCCAGTGCTACTTCCTCGTGTCCCTGGACGGGAAGCTGTGTGTGATTGACACGTGGCAGGAGAAGTGGCTATGGATGACGGGGAAGGTGAAGGCGAATGCGAGCTTTTTGGAGTTCCCTGAGGAGGCAGCTGAGGGAAGGGTAGGAGAGGGTTTGTTAGGCAGCAGGAGGGGTGTTGATGACACAAGTTTGGGGTTGAGACGGGTTGCCAGATGTAGGTCTGCAAGTGGGCTGAGATACAGCTGGAGCAGAGTGCACATGCCAGTGGAGACAGAGGGGAGGGAACTGGCAGGCTATGCTGTGTTCCAAGTATAAGGGGGTGCATGAATCATGGGACGTCAAGCTTTGATGCAATTCAGTTGGGTTCCTTCAGTAGGCTGGTTAGAAGGGCTTGGGCATCACATTATGGCACATTGGGTTTGGGATCACTTTACCTTGCATCCTAATGTCTCCATAACATGGCATTGCTGGCATGTAGTGCACGCACCACAACCTTAGTGCTGCAAGCCTTGGCATTGATCCTTAGAATTGAGTCAGAAAGTACCAGCATGTCTGATAAACTGGAGACTGGCGGTTGTACAGCAGTAAGCATATCCTGGTGGCCTGGAGTCTATGCCTCATGTAGCAATAACCTCTAAGGGCACAAAGCAGTATATTGCAAGCTTGGGATTCACTTCAGTCCACATCAAGTTGGCCCACTCAGTACATGGGCGGCATGCCATAGGCTGGCATGGGAGGGGCACCACCGAACGCACCGCCATCCATGCCCCCACCGGGCATAGGAGGCGCTGGCAAGGCAAGTGGCATGAGCGTTTGGTACATGTTCTGCACAGAGGGCACACACACCAGAGCACAAACACCAGAGCACAAACATCAGAGACATACAACACATCGGAAGGCATATCATGAGACAGAGCAGAAAAAGCCGGGAACAGCGTAACCAGGAGTGGTTTTCTGGCTGGGGCCCATGGATAGATGGGCTACTCACCGCTTGAGCAATGACCTCCTTCTCCTCCTTGGCCTTCTTCTCGACCTCCTTCTTGGCTGCCTCCTTGTCCTTCATCAGCTCGTCCACCTTGGTCGAATACTCCCGCACAAACTGCGGCGCAACACAGGGCATATAGGACACAAGGCAGGGAGGCCATGGATCAAAAGAGAGAGGAAGGCAGGGGGAGGAACAACAGGGGGAGGGTGGTGGAGGGGGGAAGGTGCATGTGAAGCAGGGTGATGCAAAAAACAGACATCATGTTGGTGTTAAGAAAAGCAATGAGTGCTTGACACAGTGTTTCCAGCATCATTGAACTCATACCTGGATGAGGTAGGGCATGACGTAGTCCTGCATGTTGTTGAGCCATGCGAGCTCCACCACCACGTCTGGGCGCAGCAGGTCGTAGCACGTGTACAGGCACGACGCAAAGCACTCCTTCTTGTCCTGGAGAGTAGGCAAAACCCCCAAACACGCACGCACGCACACACTCCAAAGCAAACACACGCACGCACGTCCACACACACAGAAGTAGCCCATGGCGAGGGAACAATAGTAAGACCCTCAGGGTTGGGGACAAATGGAAAAGGTTGCTTGGGTGGGTGGGAAAAGGCGGGAGTGGGGGAAGGGTGGGGAGGGCGAGGATTGGCTAGGAGAGAGGAGAGGGTGGGGTTGCTGCACGAGACGTGGAGCTGAGGAACCGAACCTAGAGCACTGGGCTCTCAAAGACTGGAGTGAGCAGCGGGTTCTCAAAGAGGGGAGTGAACAGCGGATTCTCGAAGAGTGGAGTGGGCGCACACCTCCTCGAGGAAGTAGTTGAGCAGCTCCTCTGCGAGCTCCCGGTCGCCCGACTGGCTGGCGGTCTCCATGGCGTCCTTGTACAGCTTGTCCGACTTGGACAGCGCCAGGGACTGCCGCCAGCGCCCACACATCTTGTAGATGAACGCCGCAATGCGGCGGAACTCCAGCAGCTCGTGCTTCTCGATCTGGTGAGGATAGGAGGGGGGAAGGAGGGGTTGAGCACAGTGGCAAAGAACCAGGGATAGCAGAGACAGGGAGCGGCAGATGAGGGGAGAGAGAGGGATGGGCAGGAAAAGGGGGACGGGACTACAGGCGCTGTCAGAGTGGCACGGAGCAGGCGGAATTGGGAAGGAGCAGTTACTTACCCTCTGGGCGAGGGAGATCTGGTCGAAGTTGTCATGCATGTCGATGGACTCGCGCAGGCGGTCGTAGTCCTCCTCTTCGATGTACAGGTTGTTCAGCGCCTCGTTCACGGCCGCCACGTTCACACTCTGCACCGTCACCAGGTAAGGCTTTACCAGCGGCAGGTTGCCCGACTGTGGTGGGGCAAGTGGGGGGCAGGAAAGATAGGGTAAGGTTCTACACTATGCATCATCACAAGGTACGGATTCACCACCGGCAGGAAGGGGAGGGGCGGACGGGTAGGGAAGGGGACAGGGGAAGCAAGCAGGGGAGGCTAAAAGGGAAGCGGACAGGGAGAACAGAGCGTGTAAGAAGAGAGGGGCAGTGGAATTGGGAAAGCTGATGGAGATTATGAGGGGACAGAAAGATTCATGTCAATGGTTGGTACCTTGCGCATGAGGTCGACAACACGGGTGTGGTCGACGCGGGGCGCGAGCACAGTGAGGAGGTCGTTGATGAGGTCGGGGTGCTCTTGCAGGTAGAAGAGGATGGCGCGGTAGTAGATCTCCAGATTCGCCACCTTCACCACCACGTCCTTGAACTGCAATGAGGGGGAGGGGGAAGAGGGGGGGGGGTGGATGAACCCGGGAGAACTGACAGGACCGTACAGCAGCGCCAGCACACGCGCATTAACACAGTTGGCCACAGAGAACAGCACATAAGGCAAAGAAACGTACAACCAGGGGAGAAAAAGGCAAGCATCGTCCAAAGGTACAGGGACGGGAGGGGACGAACCTGCGCATGTTCCCAGGCCTCCGGCGAGTGGCTCATGATGGTGGTGGACGCGTTGTCAAACTCGTCATACGTGATGTACAGGAATGTGAGCTCCTTCCAGTGCTGCTGCTCGTCGCACACGCGGATCAGCTTCGGGATGTTAATCCTCGTCGAGAACAGCTTCAGGTGCTCCATCAGCTTCTCAGGGCGGTAGCGCGCATACAAGCTCCCCAGCTCGGTGAAGATCCCCATGTGCGCGCGCTCCAGCCCCAGCCCGCTCTCCATGAGCGACATGACCTCGTCGAAGCGCCCGCGGTTCTGGTAGTAGTCGCTGACCTCCTCCATGTCGTCCACCTGCACGATGATGTTGAGCCCGCAGATCTGCGCCAGGCGGAACTCCTCCGCGTCCACGCACGCAAAGCACACCTCCTTCCAGACCCGAGCGCTGTTGGCCTTGCGTGCCGCGTCCACCGCCGCCTGGAACTGCTGCAGCTTCACGAGCGTGCTGGCGAGGCGGCCCCAGTTGGAAATGTGCTGGAAGATGATCCGCGCGGCTTCATACAGCTCCTCGTCGAACAGCCGGTCGCCCACGCTCTGCAGGTTCGCGACGTTGGGCAGAGCGATGAACTCCTCGATCGCGTCGAGCTTGTCGATCTTGGCGTACGCGTACACGAGCTCCTGGTCCACCTTGGGGTCCTTCACTGTCTTGCGCACCATGAGGAGGTACTCGACCAGATCCGCATACGCGTCCACGCGCTCGGATGCGCGAATCACCTCGTGGAACTGGGAGCCGTCGCCGGCGCGGATGAAGGAGGCAATGGCGTCGGAGAGGAGGTCCTCCCGCAGCTGCGCCTTGCCCACCTGCGACCACACCTCGGGCTCCTCCACACGGTTGGCAAACTCCACCGCGCGGGGAATGCTGTTGATGTTGTCCAGCAGCACGTTCACGGCTGGCACGTTCAAGTTGAATTTCTTGAAAATGGCGAAGGCCTCCTCGTAGAGCTCGCTGCCCACGGCGATCTCGCCGACAGCCGGCCCGTCAAAGTTGTCCAGGCGGTTGACATAGTCCATGACGCGCGTCTTGTCCGCCTTGATGGCCGTGAGGATGAGCAGGTTCTGCAGGTTGGGGTTGCCGCTGAACGCCGAGTTCTGCAGCACGATCTTCTCCAGCAGCTCAATTAGCTCGTGGGGGAGGTCAGCTGTCATGAAGGCCTTGACAGTCACCGACACCTGGTCGGGGTTCTTGCTCTCAGGCAGAGCAGTGGACACCACCTGCAGCGGGAGTGGAGCAGGGGGGGAGAGGAGAGTAGTGGGACTAGTGTCAGAAAGGAACGGTTGCCCCCAAAAGCCAAGAGACGCAGTATAACGACGGATAAGGAGAGGGTGTGAGAGTGACGGGGGATGGGGGCCTGTACCTGGTCGATGAGCTGGCGGCGGTACTCGTTCTCGGGAGTGAGGACAATGGCCCACAGCTCAGGCTCCATGCGCTCCACAACATACCTGCAGAGAGAATATGGGCACAAATCCACGATGGCACGAAGTCAGAAGATTAACTGTCACCCCTGAAAGCTATTATTTTTCACCAATAGGGTGGAAACCAGCTTCAAACCACACGCCTTGCCCATCGTCAGCCCAACTACCATCACACTCTTTCCCACCCTACCCCACGCCACCCCACCCCGCCCCCCACCTCTCCTTTCCTTCTGTCTCCCGGGTTCTCCCGCCACACACCTGGCCTGCAGCTTGAAGAGCGAGTTCTTGGCGGTGACAGCAATGAGCTCCTCGTCGCACAGCCCGCGCTTGTACGCCACCACGGCCAGCGTGGGGTCCCTCTTCTCGCAGTACTTGCCGACGACACGCGAGTCGTAGAAGGGGTTGGTGGTGAGGAAGTGCTCGGGGTTGTTGTTGGTGTCGATGATGATCTTCCCCAGCGCGTTGTGCACGTGCACGTCCTGGCTGCCCTCGCTCACAAGGTGCTCCAGGAACTGCGTCAGCAGCCGCAGCCGGTTCCGCTTCTCCACCTCCTCCACCAGCGGCTCGACCGGGATCAGCGACGCACTGACAGAATCAGGTTCTTGATGAAGTCCTCCGCGCACTCATCGTCCAGCAGCTGCCCGACCACCAGCGCCGAGTTGCTGGGATTCACCTTCTGAACATAGCCCTCGATGTAGCGCAGCATGTTGTTGGTGTACAGGTAGTGCGTGAGGTCCGGGACGAAGTTGAAGCGGTCGCAGACGTTGATGAGCGGGCGCGCATCGGGCAGCTTGGCCTCCATGAGGAAGTTCTTCATGCGCTCGGGCTCGTACACACTGGACTCGCGCGTGATCCGCTCCACCTCCTTGATCTGCCCAGTCTTGGCGCCGCCTCCACGTACTTGAAGTGGATCTCGGGGTCCTCGCTGGTGGACATGTACGCGCCGAGGAAGAAGAAGAGCCCCTCGAAGGACTTGAACTGCTCAAAGAGCTTCACGCAGTTGTCCATGCCGAGCTGCTCGGCAAACTCCTTCGCCACCTGGACCACGATCTGCAGGTTGCCGCGCATGTTGACGAGCAGCAGCTCCTTCA